GTGAGTTCGGTTCCCAGTACCGGAGAAAAACCAAAAAAAAAAAAAAAAAAAAGAACTGAAACATTGGGCCAGAGATGTAGCTTAGCAACCAGCAACAGCACCTGACAGGCAAGCATGATGTCCTGAATTTGATTCCCAAAAACAAAACATAAAAAAAAGTAAAAGAACCAAAACATTTACCCAGGCATAGCGGTGCAGGCCTGAAATCCTACCACTCCAGGGGCTACTTCAAGAGACTCTGAGAATTGAACAATAACCTGGGGCTACATTGTGTGTTCAAGGTCAGCGTGAAATACAAAATAAGACCCAGTCCCCCTCCCTAATAACAAGCACAACATTATAACTAACAAGGTAGCACATGTCAGTCAACTCAATAGAAAAGGACATAGCAACACTATCAAGACATTTCACTACCTTAGGAAACAAAGTAAGACTTGGTATTAATACTTTTTTTTCCAAACTTGGGACAATGTAGGTAAGAATAAGACGCTTCCTACACACCTTAAAATCTTTGGTGTCCAAAAAAAAAAAAAAAAAAAAAAAAAAAATCTTTGGTGTCCAACACAAACTCTTGTTCTACTTCAGCTATAATATGGAACATACTTTCAAACATCCAATAGTAGTGTTCTAATTTCCTAACTTACCTCAGAAAATGATTAGCTGAGCTGATCTGTAGACACAGAAGAATTTATCTTTAAGTTTCAGTCCTTTCTATAGGCCTGTGATATTTTTCCTACTCTAACGAAGCAAGCAAATAATACTTCAATATTGTCCTACTAAATCAAGTTCACTTCAGAAGTACTTTACCGTTCTGGTTGCTGTGTGGGACACTGCAAATTCCCTTGAGTTCCCATTTCCTCTTTAATCCCCTTGGCTCTTTCTATTCAAAAGCCCTCTTTTTCTTTTTTTTTTCTTTTTTTTTTTCCTGGTACCAGGAATCGAACTCACAATCTCGCGTTTGCCAGGCAGGCGCTGTGCCGCTGAGCTAAATCCCCAGCCCTCAAAGCCCTCTTATTCTTAATTCTTTCATATGCATGCACATCTTAACTATGGGAATCTACCCCTACTTCATAGTTGTTCTACACAAAATCCACCTCAATCAGTGTTTCAATCTTCAAATCAACGTCTAGACAAACTCCAAGGACTACAGCAATTATTTTAGACATGCCACCCATTTCTCTTTCCACTCATACATTTATCATATCAAAGCATCACTGTAGATCCCACAGTTCACAATGTTTCTCAGTGTGCGATTAACAGGCAGCACCTTCAGAAGTTGTTCTAGGCAGGAGCAATTTCCCCTCAAGAACTACTGCATCATCATCCCGTGCATATTTGTCAGCATTGTAAACTCTATGAAAAGCAGCAATTCAACAGTCCAATTGCAAAGAAGAGTTTATTAGTTAGCTTATAAATAGGGAACTTAGCCGGGCGTGGTGGCGCACGCCTGTAATCCCAGCCCTGGGGAGGCTGAGGTAGGCGGATCCTTGTGAGTTCGAGGCCACACTGGGCTACAAAGTGAGCTCAAGTTCAGCCTGAACTGCATAGCGAGATCCTGTCTCAAAAAGACCAAAAAAAAAAAAAAAAAAAAAAAAGGAAACCTAGCTAGGGAAATGGCCTGAAGTCAATTTAGGAAATTAGTCATTTTGGTAAGAATTAAAATGAGAACAGACTACAACCTAAGACTGAACCAGCAGTAACTTTATCCCCCAGGAAAAAGGCAGGCTCCTCTCTACTAGAGAGAGTTGCAGCTGCGAACTACTAAACTCCTGAGTTTCCAAAAATTTAAAATACAAATAGCCAGTTTTCCTCTAAAACCTGTTTCTATTAGGCCCTGCGTGCCGAGGAAATCGGTCAGACAGCCTGGGGGCAAACTGCTTTGGCTCGACGTGGTGGCTCACGACTGTACTCCTGTAAGGGTCGAGAAACTCGTTGCGTGAAGGAAGACTCCAAGAGACGTTCTCTCATGCAAAAAGCAAGGGGATTTTATTTACCAAGCATGCATGGGGCTCACTGAACGGGCAGGAACAGAGAGCTCCGAGCCGGAGTTCAGCCGGACTTTTAAACCAAAAAACCACAAAAAGCGGGTATTTTGCAAGCGAATTTACAAAAGCAGATAGCGTTGGTTAGTTCAAACTGACCTTTACAATCATTGGTGGGGGATTGGCGGGGAGATACAAGAATGAGGAAGTTTAGCTTAAGGGCAGGGGAGTTACTCTGAGTGGCTTTCCCGAGAACAGGATGGGAGTTTATTTCCTGAAACTCCTAGCACCTCCTGGGCAGTCTCACACTGCTTATCTATAGATGGAGGACAGTTGGCTCCCATAAAATTTTTCCTTTACACTCCCAGCACACTGGAGGGTTAAGGATGAACAGGAGTTCGAGGCCAGGCTAGTTACGTAGGTAAAAGTGTATGCAAAAAAGACTTATTTTCAATACACACAATCAGGTGTCACAGGTAGCCTGGATACGCACTTGAGACGCATCCTGGCAATCAAGGAGTGATTCTTGTTTTTTGATTTGGTTCCGGATCTCATCGCTCAGTGTTTAGTAAGATGACAAATTCTGCTTTCTGCTGTAACATCATTGTGAGTAAAGGTCTCACACAAGTCATTCAAATGATATATCTTTCATTTTGAGGATGGAACCCAGGTTTGCCCGAAAACCACTGCACTCGTCAAACTGGGGGAGATACCGGTGTGCCTGGGGCTATCCAAGAAGGCATTCTGGGCTTACACTGTCACAGTTCGGACAGTATGCAGGTGACCCCGAACTGTCCCTGCCTGAGCAAATGCAAATGGGGACACATAATAAGGCAGGACTAAAGTCTTAGGAAGACCTCAGTGGCCGGAGCTCAGCAGCGAAGCTGTAGATTGCCATAGCCGGTTCTGGCCACTTCCAGAACTCACACAATTCCATCTTATTCCCAGTTCTCATCCCATAAAGTTACCATTGTGTGGCTTCAGGGTCTCCGAGGATTCTTTGCACCCCGCAGTAAGAAGAGATCATAGAGACAGTTCTAGCAAACTGCGGGCTCTCAGGACTGAACGCACATTGAGCACTTCCACACTCGGTCAGAGGAAGAGCCCGCCTCCCTTGGCCCACCTGATTGGGTAGTTCAGCCAGCCCGCTCCTTTACATGATTGGCTTCTGGACCTGTCTCTCTCTTGTCACGTTGGTCTCATCTAACAGGACTAATCCTTGCATGTAAGGGTTTTACTACTGGCTTTTGAGAGTTACCCCGGGTTTCTTAAAAGACTCAGCACGCTTCCCGGAAAGTGAGTCCCAAGTGTGCTCAGAAAGTTCCTGGGGGAATTTCCTGTGGAAGAACCAATCCTCAGATGACATAAAATTTTATGAGACCAAGTCAGCTCAGAAAAAATTGGAATGGGTGCGGGCTGCTGTTGGGAATGAAGCAATAGGCTTTATTGCTAAGATTTTCACACAGTCTCTCTCAGTCTCCTTATTTTTCTACAACTAAATTAGTATCCGTCCACCAAGAGAAATGCATTGTAGTGTAAATGCAGACACCGCACATAAATGGTAACAAATTTCTGAAAAAGAGTAAAGAGGAATGTAAAGCAAACAGTCCAACTCCCTCAGAGAAGCATCATATTGATACAGGAAAATTAAAAACTCCCAATCTGAATGATATCTGGGAGGAGTTCATGTTCTCTAAAATCGAAGATGAATTTTAGGAACAACGGAGGTTAAGAGCAGAATATATTTATTGAGGGAAAGAAAGCTTCTGTCCAAAAAAGGGACAAAAGGGGGGCCCGAGTGGGTTACCCAGGACTGTCTTTTCTAGGGACTTTTATAGACCAAAACCACGAGGTGAGGTGGTCCAAGGTAGGGGAAAAATGGACAAAACTATGGTCAGCCAATAAGAACTGTTCAGGTAAAAGTGATTAAATTGGGATCAAATGGGGAAGCAAGTCATGTAGCAAGTGGGCATGAATACAGAACAGGGGCTTTTCCTGTGAGGGGTTGGGTTAGGGACTCATCAATCCCTGATGTCCATCCCTTGAGGGGGTGAGAGGGTGTGTTTGTCTTCCTGTTTTTCCTGTTTGTTTGTTTGTTTGTTTTACTGGTACCAGCAATAGAACTCAGGACTTCATTCTTGCCAGGCAGGTGCTGTGCTGCTGAGCTAAATCCCCAGCCCCTGCCTATAATATTTCTATCTAACTCAGCTGCCTGTAACAATATCATATCCAGTGTTATAAAAACACCTAAATTATAAAGATAACCATAGCTAAGCAAGAGTTTTAAAATGATTGCTGAAACAGAGCCCCACGCTTGATCTATTTGATCACTTCCTGGTAATAAGCGTGGGATACAAAAAGACTTTTGACTGTAAGCAGTAACATTTTTGCTTTATATATATTTTCCACTCTAGAGTCACTAAATTATTACATTAACATATTTCTTATTTGTTGACTGGACTTTGTATCTTGGGTTGCTTTTAACGAAAACATAAACTGTAGATCTACGACTGGAACAGTAGGAAGGAAAACCTCATGAAGCTCACTTAGGAATTCACAGGTAGGCAATGGTAACCGTGTCAGGATCTTAGGGGTTGACACAAGTTACTGGGAAAGGGCTTTTTTACTTCTTAATAAAAGCAGCCAGGAACAAGTGCCTCAGTTATCAGGGTCTGGACTCACCACCTTCTTACAAGGTAACTTGTCCGTGCCTCATTTCTTTTACTTCTTCCAAATAAAGTGCTTTCATTATCCCTTTTAAACTTTGCATCTCTAAGCTCATATTGTTATGAAGGCTACCTTTCCTGGTTGACTACAGGGCAGTGGTAATGTGCTCATCCCAGATGTGACATGGTCAGGTGGAAGAATCATTGATTTTCTTTTTCTGCATTCCCCTCACGAACCAGCCAAGAACTTTCTTTTCTGTTCTTTTTTTCCCAATTCAACAACAAAAAATCTCTCAGAAGTTTCTGATTTTTTCCACAACTACATTCCTTGTCATTGAGTCCCTGAGCTCAGTTTGTACAGAATTAAAAGTTTCAATTTTCTCTGTAATAAGTCCATGATACCTATTAATAATGTCATATATTTTGTAAACAACATGATAACCTTGACTCTTCAATTAGAGATTTCCTTAGAAATGGGCTACTAGAGTTTTAAATTTTTTTCAGAGTCTCACTATGCAGCTCCAACTGGCTTTGAGCTCAGTTTGGATCCCAGGCTGACCTCAAACTCGCAACAATCCTCCTGCCTCAGCCACCTGAGTGCTGGGATTACAGGCATGTGCCACCATAGCCTGCTGAGTTTTTAATTTCTAATCAGATTTCTTATCAGATTTAATGAGATGGGAATATCTGATATCAAGCTCATAATATTCTCTTTCCAAGGATCAAGCTTCTGACATATCTGAGCTCTTAATTTACACCGGACAAAATATTGAACCCTGGCAATAGCAGGTTCCACATGAAATACCTGAAGATTAACTGTCACAGTGTCTCTGTGACATCCTCCACGGTGCACAGGCACTTATTTGGGCTTCATACTAATACAATTCCTTTTTGTTGTTGTTTTTTGTTTTTGTGTTTTTTTTCTGGTACCAGGAATCAAACTCATGACCTTGTGCTTGCCAGGCAGGCGCTGTGCCACTGAGCTAAATCCCCAGCCCCTCATACTAATAGAATTCTGTTATTAATGTGGATTGGATTCCCGAGTGTTTTTATCCTTACAAGAAGAGATGGGAACAGCATTTCTGCCATTCTCCATTTGTGATGTTACTGGGCTTTCTGTCACTGTGACAAAATATTTGAAAAATTCAGGTATGGGAATTGGAATTTTTAGGTGACATATACTCTGGCCCATACTTTCTGAAGTTCAGACCATGGTGGGAATGTGAGACAGAGCCCAGCCACCCTCATACTGATCGAGAAGTAGAATGAGAGATGAGGGGTCTACATCCAAGGAGGAAGAACCCAAAGATAAGCTGTGTGTGTGTGTGTGTGTGTGTGTGTGTGTGTGTGTAGGCATTCTACAAACTTACCAGGAGTCCTTTGCCCATTCCTTCCTTGTACAGCTCTTCCCCACATCATACTGTGGCTTAGCCCCTCTGTGCCCCTAAACGTCTATTTCATTCAGTCTCCTTATGGTTGATTTGTCTCTCTGCACACTAGTTTCACTCCCTGTGTCTCTCACACAGTAATGCATAGGAGGCTCCTCTGAGTCACAGAGCGCAGCTGCAGCAGAACTGGCTCTTGGACTGGCCTCTGAAGATGACTACATTGCACTGAATTAAAAGTCTATAGTAAATACAACCTCCAGAACTTGTGCACCCAAGTCATTCCAACTTTAGAAATTTATCCAGAGTAAAAAGCAGGACACAATACATGCTGGTAACAGAAATTGTTATGTGAAAAGCTAGAACAAAGATAGTGCTTACTGACTGCAGACACTCTGCTCCTCTACCTTCTAATCTAATTGGAGCTCTCACTGATGGGACACTTGGCATGTGCTACAACCAGCTCAGATGACAGTATGGCCTGCTCATACTTGCAGTGTCCTTTCTGTTACCTAACCCCTCATATTACACAGGTAACCACCAGGATTGACGTGTGGGGATCCAGAGGAGAACTTCTGTCCTCTGTCAGTATCTCCTTCAGAAGGAGGTGGACACTGCAGAGGGTGTAGGCCTGGCTCTTCTGACATTTTCCCTGTGTCCACTTTCCCTGGACAGGTGTCCCTCACCTGGTACATGAGACTGAACAAAGGGAAAACTCACTTTCATGGGTCCCCAATGTTGCTTAGGCTCTGAGTTCTCCTGTCTCAAGCCCAGTGTTCTCAAGGCCTACTTTCACGATACTACAGTCCCTTCAGGTTGGGAATTCAAAAAGATGAGATGGACAGTGGCAAAGACCTTTAGCATACAGGCTGGATTTCCTATAGGCTATGTACGGGGGCTAGAGGCCAGTCATCCATCTGTGGAGACAGCAACATCTCCGGCCCAGACACCTGCTGGGGATAGCTCAGAAAACCAGGAGGCTTGCGGATGAATGAGCCCCACGTTCCTGCAGACTGTCACTACCACAGGCCCCCGAACAAGATAAAAGCTGAATAAAGAATGACAATAAAATAAGACAATCACCTGGGACATACAGTTGAAAAATCAGTTAAGAAAAGGAAAAATATGAATATTAAGAAATTGTTATATGTGGGGCTGGGGATTTAGCTCAGCGGCAAAAAGCGCCTGCCTGGCAAGCGCAAGGTCGTGAGTTCAGTTCCCGGTACCGGAGAAAAACCAAAA